TCGTTATATTTTAAACCAGCATTTTGAATTTCTCCCGTCAGGTATGAACAATAAAAAAATACGTCACCCGCACATAAACGAAAGAAACCCGAAACTTACCGGGACTAGCCTTAAACCACCTGATTAGGGCATTTCTAAAAAATCACGCATGGAAACTATATAATTATAATTTGTCTATTTTTTTTATAAAAATAAAACTGGGAATTTACTCTCATTTAATTCTTATCTACATAAATATTTTGTAAACAAAAAAATGGTATACATTAGTAATGTTATTAAAGAATAAATTAAGTTTGAAGCGAATCACGCATGGAACAGAAAAACGCAAATTTTAGTTACTAGTTAAATAAACTTTAATTCCTCGGAAAATATAAGTTTTAGCAATATACTTTTTTTTAATAATATATATAATAATATAACTGATAATAATATTTTTAAAATTAATAAAGATTTTCAGAAAGTTACAGGATTGCACTATGTATAATAGAGTCACAGCAATCGTTTAAAAACAGTAAATGAATGATCACGCACGGAAGTTGCAAATTTGTCAACTTTATGCTGTTATTTTTATGAAAATAAATTGCTTGTAAATATTTCAAGTCTATTTTGCTTTAAATCTCAGCTTCTAATGGTTAAAATAAAGAAAAAGAAAAAAGCACGCACAGAAATGGAAATGCCCACTACGCTATGACAAGTTCTCATAATTTTTATTTTTTTGTCTTGCTTAGTTTCAGTAACCACAAACAGAAAAATTTCTGGTCTGCAACTTTTTACTCAACTATTTTACTCAACCCTATTTACTTACACTTGAGGTTTGCGTCTAACTATTCACAAAATTCTGAGAGAGCGATTTCGATGGAAACTTCGGTTTTATAAGAAAATTGTAAGGCTAACGTTTATGAATTACTTTAAAGTCGAAAGCTTTATCAATAATTTAGCTTTTTTTCTTAAAAAAAAAAGAAATAAGTACTATAAATATGTAGAAAAAAAAAATTGAAAATAGTTTTTATGTTTAGATATTTAATATATATTCGGATGTCTAATAAAATTATAAAATAATAAATTGAATCTGAAAATTGTAAGATATATATTTTATATTTTTATATAAATAATTTTCAGATTTAATAATCATATTATGGATCGTGGATCCTTGAACAATATTTATTAATTTTAGCGCTACACCAATTCATACTAAAAAAAAACGCTACACCATTTTATACTAAAATGTACATTAACAATCAAACTAAGTATTATAGATAAACCTAGATAAATTTTAAATTACTCTTAATTCTAAATAAAATATATCATGTTTTTAAAAATATTCAAAAAATATTTTTTAGTTGTACTTTTAAAATTGATTTAAAAAATTTGTTTTCTCCAATATCGAAAAATTTTTGTATTTTTTATAACATGCGCTAACTGCGTTGAGTACAGAATTGTTTAGTTTAAACTTCTTGATTATTTTCGGGTTTTTTTGAATTTAATTTATGTTAATAAACTTGTTTGACTTAAGCATAATTTATGTTAATAAACTTGTTTGACTTAAGCATAATTTATGTTAATAAACTTGTTTGACTAAAGCATAATTTATGTTAATAAACTTGTTTGACTTAAGCATAATTTATGTTAATAAACTTGTTTGACTTAAGCATAATTTATGTTAATAAACTTGTTTGACTTAAGCATAATTTATGTTAATAAACTTGTTTGACTTAAGCATAATTTATGTTAATAAACTTGTTTGACTTAAGCATAATTTATGTTAATAAACTTGTTTGACTTAAGCATAAGTTTTTATCAGTATGATAAAAATTTAAAAACTTTATTTAAAGTTTTATTTGCTAATACTTTAATGAGAGTTGAAAAGAATCGAGTTCGTTTTTTTTAATCAATATAGATAAATGAATTTTTCGTTCCTTGTGTATATATATTCATTTCCGTTCTTTGTTTATATACATTCATTTTCTTTCCTTGTATATATATCTATTTCCGTTTCTTGTGCTATATCTGTTTAACTGTGTTCAATGAGTCAGTTGTTCAAAAAAAAAAATATTCGGAGAAGTGTTGTTTGTTGCAACTTTTTAATTTTTCTTTTAAACTTTTTTTAAATTTTTATTACTTAGATTTTTAAATGTTTGTATTAAAAGTCTATCTTACGACAAATTTGTAAAGTCTGTCTGTCTTACGACAGGGTCTTTATTCTAAACTTATGGGAACAACAAAAGCCCTATAATGTAATTTAGTCTGACGACAATAAAATTCAAACCAAATCAAACCTGAGGACAATAAATTTTTGAAGTTGTGATTCTCTAAAGATTAAAGTGTTAATACACAAAGAGAGAAAATTTATTTTAAAAACTCTACTATAAAAATTCTGAAATATCAAAATTGATTCCGTTGGCAATAAACTAGTACATAAAAAAATTGCTTTCACTTTTAACTTTGGCCAAGCTGGAAAACTGATATACAATTGCTTACAAGGAGGTTTAAAAATTTTTTGAACCCAAATATAAAACTCCCCCCCCCCTCCCCTCATTGTCGCAAATTATTGAAATAATTAATTTTTAGTGATGGAAGGTCCTTGTAAACACTGTTCAGCTACATTATTAGTGATCTACGATTTTTTGATGTTTAAGATATTTCTAGTAAAACTCCAAATTTATTTATGTTAATGCTTATTTAAAACAAGTAAAAAAGTGGAGATTGGAGCTTGGAACAATAATACTCAAACAGATTTACCATCTCCAGCCCAAATCTTGTAAAGGTGCCAATTATGGAATACCATTTTTACCTTATTAAAAATATCATGATAAAAAAAACAAAAAAACAATAGTGCATAGTATCATCAAATTTTATTTCAGTTAGAAAGATGAATTTGACCATAGTTCGTCAAGTGGAATACTCCACTTCCTTGGATTCTACATAAAGGCACTGCCTTGATATAAGGTAGAGCCGGGCTAGTTGAGCATAGAAGCAAGTTGAACAATTAAAATATCTCAATAACTACGCATCCAATTTGATTAAAACTACCCGTTTTTTCATAAGTCTTACTGTTCTCTTTAAAATCTAACTAATGTGTCACCTAGTCTAGAGGGATAAGTTGAGCAGTTTTGAAAAAAATAAATAAAACTGAACTTTCGAACGTAAAGAAACAACTTTGGTAAAAAACAATTCAAGATACATTATTTATATATTTTTAAAATTAATAATTTTTAAATCGGGCTTCAAAGTTCAAGATAATTGTATAAAATAATATTTTCATACTCTATGGCTTTCTTTCTATTTAATTTTTTCTCTTCTCATATTTATGTCATTAAAGTACATAAAACAAAAAGTTTATACATTAAGCACATGTTTACTGTTTGTGAAAGTTTTATTGATGATTCACCGAAGCTTCGCAGCATGCATTCACTCATTTGTTAATTGCTCAATTTACCCTTGACTATTGCTCAACATATCTCGCTGGAACAGGTTAAATAGCCCTGTAAACTTTAGGCTTTATCTTTTTAAAAAAATCTAAAGATTAATTTGAAAATAATTTAACCTGCTAAAGATTTATTAAGAAAAACGTATACTTTTTTCTAAATAAATCTTTAGCAGGTTAAGTTATTTTAAAATAGTGAAAAAATTATGTAAGTCCGACGTATCGTTCATCAGATCTCTTAGATTTAGTAAAAATCGCTCAAATAACCCCGTTCTACCCTAACTTACATGCCGTTAAAATAAAAGAACGCAATTTTTAACTGATAAACTAAGTATACTACATAATGAGGTAACATTTCTGCTTACCTATTTCAAATTATAAATTTCACAAATGTACTAAGAAAAATCACAATAATGTTTGTATGCAACGATGTAAAAAAACTGAAAACACTAAATAATACATTATGAGATATTTTAAGGTTATGTTTGCACATGAGATTAGGACTAGTTGATCAAATAATTTGAAACGCCACCATGCAAGATATTCAACTATTAGAATGTATATGCCTCTAACAATTTCTGGAAACACCAATTTTCGGCACCTTTACTGTACTAAATTTAAACTTACCGGAATTTTAATCCCTGGGAGATTGAAATCTCAAAACAAGTTATCAGGGAGATTGAAACCTCAAAATAAGTTATTAGCGAGGAGCTCATATTAAAGTTTCAAAAAATAATGGTAGCCACGCTTTTTATTCTCAAAATGATAAATTTAAATTTCTGCAACTCTCCATTAAAATAGAAATACAAGGAGGAGAATCTTTTTTTAAAATTCTCTTGTTTTCGTAAGAACTTAGGCCGAAGAAGCAATAAAAATTCTCTACAAAATCACTGAAACAATCTTTTTGATATATTTTTTTTTCCATAAAGCTCTTTTTTATTAAAATTTACCAATAAATTTAAATCAGGAAAACTTTAACACTAAACATTACCATTTATTTTTGTAGTAGCAAAATTTTTACCGCATATTGATTGCTACTTCAATACGTGGTAATAATTTGAATTACGACATATGCTTCATCTACATTACGGCAAGTAAATTTAGTTGTCTTATTCATTTTTACATATCGTAACACAAGCGAACTTATAAATCAGTATGTTTTCAAAGTATACAAAGTATGTTCATGTAGTTGTCGTAAGTTGCCGTAGTTGTCGTAAGTTGTCATAAGTTGTCAATAGCTACAAAGCTAAGAAATGTAACAGTCGACATGTGGTAATAATATCGTTAGCTATAAAACTAGGTAATTTAGTTAACGACAGGTTTGAACAAAATGTTGAAATTTCTATTATTTCTTTCAATATATTAGAATCAAAACGATTGATTTTTTTTAAGAACTAAGATCAAACAAAAATGTCTGAAAATAAGTAGTTGTTTAAAAGTTTTCATTCAGCTATCAAGTTGATTATTATCACAATGTTACGTCAAACACAATTAAAATCACGGACTCAAAATTTGTTGATGCTAGTAGTACTTAAAACTCTATAATGTTATACAAAAATTTTCACAAAATTCTTACCTTTCTGCAGACTTATTTAACGCCATTTTCAAAAAAGTGAATTTGAAGTTTTTTTTCTATAGGCGCAAAAAAAATTTAATACATTATAAATAAATAAATTATATCATTGAAATTTTAAATTAAATATTTATTATTCAAATATATACATTTTAAAGATTTACTCCAAATGATATTTATAGATAATTGCTAAACGTAAATGAATTATTAACTTCACTCATTCATTCATTAATGCTGACTGCCATTCATCTGATTATACTCAATTAATATCACATTTATAACGCAGCATTTTAGACAGTCAAATTTATATAAAATTCTATCGTATCTGGGAACTATAGATACAGTAAACAGCAGTCTGAAAGAAAAACCGTAGCTCATATAGTACTCATCATGTCTTTTGACGGCCCTTAATTTGTGTTGTCAACAATTAAATTATTTATTTTGAAGGAATACTAAATTTTTATTTAAGAAATTTGTTTATGTATTTTTTTAATATAGAGAACGACGTAACGGATCGCATAACGTTAAGTAAAAAAAAAGACAATGACAAAACGGATCACATAAATTATTTTAGGTAAAAAAATAATGATTGCTGACTATGCACAAGTTCAATATTTATACAAAAAAACGTTGGTAGTTAGTTTTAGTAAGTAATTACTTGTAAAAACTTTTTTTTTAAATTCTAATGGTTGAGTCTATTTTCTCATAACAAAGATGTTGTAGTTAGGATAAATTTTTAATTTGTTGATGTGAAAACATAGTTATTAGAAGTTATTAAAATTCATAGTCAATTAGTGATTGGTGCGACATAAGACCAAAAGTATATAGGTTGTTCGCCCATTGCTAAGGGCAATAGCCCATAACTGCTCTGTGAAAAAACATTTGTTGAAACCAACATTTGACCATTTTTTTTTTTTCCTACTTGTAATTAACACAAACTTATGTTTTACAACAATATCTACTGCATTTTGCAACAACATCTACTTCTGCAATTGGTAATATCTCAACAAATAGTTCTTTAAATCCAGAAATATAAATACCTAATTTTGAATTAGGTATTTATATTTCTGGATTTTTCATATTGCACGTGAAGTTTGTTCACAACTAAAAAGGTTTTGTAATACATAGAAATACCGGTTTTATGTAATTTTTAATACATAATATTATTAAATATAGTTGCATGATTTTATAGAAATAAGGACAAGTTTTATAGAGTTTTTAACATACAGTTTTATCGAGTATGGCTATATAATTAATTGCCCTTTATGCTTTTGAGCTTAATGCTCAAAATAAAGTTGAAATCATGAATAAAAGACCCGAAAGTAGTTTCTTAAGCAGCCATTATTGTTGACAGAAATTTGCGCTAAAAGTTGTTGGTAGTCCTTCCAATCGACAATTACTAGTTAGTTTGCAAGCAAGCTGACAAACTAAGTTACAAGCTTTTATATTTTAAGGTGGTACAACAACAACAAAAAAATGAAATAAATTTCCAAAATAAAGTTGCTTTTAAATATAGTTTACTCAAAAAATTTAAATATAAAAGGCAAAATAAAAAAATTCTTTAACTATTATTAAGACCATAATGGCGGAAAAACTATCAAAAACCCGTTGTTGGACTAAATTTCAAAACATAATATCTTAAGCTAGCCATCATCATATGACCTGAAATTTTGTACACTTACTCTAAACATTCCATTTAATAAGTAGATTTTTTATTTATCCAACTAAACAATGAGTTGTTTAGATATTCCTCACATTTTATTTATTTTTTGATGTTTTAGAGAGGTCTGACTGTAAAACAAATACATTTACTGGTCATCAACAAAAAACCATCTGTTAAATGAATTTTATAAATATTTCGAGCAAGTACTGAAAATTTCACATCAAGTTAACATTTCTAACTCAGGAAAATGTGTTTTGAAGTTTGAGCAAAAATGAATAAACGCGCCCAAATAAATCCACAAGGTGCCTCGTTAGCATTTTGTGTACTTCTATGTAAATATTTTGATTACAATTTATCTAATTGTAAATTTATAATAAATGATAGAATTAAATTTTTTATCCCAGTAGATTTAGGCTTGTAATTTTTTTGATTTATAGACCAGTAGTTACACCAATTATATTTTCCACGAGGACAAAACTGATAGCGTGTGTGTAGGAATCAGGAAAATCAGGGAAGTGGAAAAGTACGCCATAAATCGCTTTCTTCATTGAATACAAGTTTCCCACATTAAACCTGATTACAAGAACAAAAAAGTTTTGCATTGAATTGATTCAGTTTTCCGTGATATTACCTCTGCCTGATATTGGTTTTTTAGTACCTTTTGGGCTTTGACAAGATTTTACAGACATGACCTCGCTTTTGCCGTAAACTATCAATAGATGGTTTTTGCCGTAAACCATCAATAGATTTCTTTATTTCAAGAGAGTTGTTTATTAATTTAGTTTCAGAAGTAGCTTTCTGCATACTTTCCTCAGAAGTAATTTTATATACCAAAATTACAGTTTTATTTAACTATTTATTATTTAACTATATATTATTTAACTAAGCTATTAGGCGACAAACAATATATGTTCATACAGGAGAAAATATTTTTCATCAATTCATGACTAGCATCTATTTCTTGCAATCCGTGGCAGCTCGTAGGTTTATCTCATATGGTAATTCTAAAGATGAAAATTCTTTTTTAAAGACATCAATAGGCCACTCATTTGTGTTTAAAGAGCTCTTTGTCTTCGGTGAAGTTCTAAGTATTTTTAAGGGAAAGTTACACTTTTTACACTTCATCTCCAGTAAATGAGAAATACCAAACCGAGAATCAACGTTATCTTTAATGAACAAACTTCCAATAAACTAAGGCAAACAGCGTGTGCAATTAATTTTTTTAACAATAAAAAGCTAATAAGTATAAAATAGTAGTCAGATTCATATTTATCCGAGCTGAACGATACATCTTACTTTCTTGAGTAGGACAAGAAATCTCATCAGCAGGTTCTGATTTGAAAAATTCAAATGGTTTGAACCCATTTCATTTTCTGCTCTTTTTTCTAGTACTACTCTGTTTATTTGGCACATACCCGTACCAAGTGTGGGGCCAGCCAGGCCGCGGCCCGAGGGAACAAACTTGGGAGAGCGCAAAATCAATTTTGTAAAATGATTTAAAGTTATTACTTTTTTTTTTTTTCTTATTTGTTATTTAGGTGCCACAAGAAGTCCTAGCGGTCTTGTCACAAAGCATCGCGAAAGTGCATTTAACCAGGAAATTAACGCCTCCTTCCTTTCGAACCTGGATCTCATGCTTATAAAGCAAGCGCTCTAACCACTGCGCCACGGCCGCAATAATGGCAATTATGATGGGACAGTTAATTAAAAAGTCCCATCATAAAATATACTTTAAATCATTTTACAAAATCTTTAAAAAGAAAATAAAAGGAAAAATCACATTTCATTAGGATCATTTTTCAGATTGTAAAAAACGCGTTATTGGTTTTCAAAACTTTTTATTGGTTTTCAAAACTTAGTTAAAACATATATGTTTATCAACTATAGTGAACATTAAGTTTCTATAATGAATCACACCAAAAAGTTATCTATGAATCACACCAAAAAGTTATCAATTTAAGAAGAAAAGAAAACAGCGCCTAGAAAGTGATGAGAAACTATAAAATTGTTTCAAGAAGTGGTTGCTAACTCTGCAGAGGAAAAACAAATTATTTCAGAGCATATTAGTATCAAAGTTAATAAAAAGTTCAAGAAATAAAGTTATTCAAACAGTTCAAATTAATGACTTAAGTTCAGATCATAATTTGGAATTAATTGAAGAGGAAATTTTGTTAGTCAAAGTCAAGAAAAGGCTTGCACAAATAATTCAGAAATAACAAGAGAGTATGGAAATTTCTAGTTTTCTAACCGGGCTGAAATGGATCTTAACAAACTTCATTCAGAAATATCAGATATTCCGCCTACCTTAGGAAAAAACTTTCAATACAGGGATCCAGCAACATGGCCTAAACTAACGGACAACATAAGATGCTTTTTGATTCAACATGGGCCAGAGCAAGTAAGAAGACAATTTTTCCCATACACGCTGTGTGGTTTTTACAACAGAAAGCGACACTTCAGCACAAAATAATATGAAAAAATTTATCCCAATGATGAAAAATTTGCTCGCCATTGGTTGTTGTACAGCAATAAAAAAGATTAGTGTTTTTTTTTTTGTTTTTTTTTAGTTTATTAGTTTATTTCGCCGTTAAAAATATTTACAAAGTACAACAATATAAAAAGTACAATTGGCTGCAGCAAGAAGAAGGCATAAAATAGCCTTATCACCGAGCCCCAATAGTAACGCAAATAACTATCCGTAATATACAATAATCCGTAATATATAAGCAAAAGTATTTAAAAAAAGACAATTTAAAATGTTAAAAAACAAAGTTAAAAATTCATTGTTTTGTTTTCGCTGTTGTTATTTTCAACAGCAAAAACCAACAATTTCTCAGAAATTTCAAAAGGATTTTGTGATTGGAAAAAACTAAACCCAAGAGTTCCTGAACACGAAAACAGCAATGAACACCAAAGATGCTATTCTGATTAGAAAACTCTTGAAAAAAACCTTTTGCCCTTCGGGCATAACAGAAGTCATCGGTCAACAAAATAATGACATTTTTCTGAACTTGATTGAGCTAACAAGCAACTATTTTCTTTTAGTGGCTGAACACATTTCTGTTAAAGCAAAGAAAACTACAACGTCCTACTTTTCTCCTCAGATAAAAAATGAGTTGATTGAGTTACTTAGGCAAAAAGTCAGAAATGAAATATTGTCAAATATCAAAGAAGCAAAAACTCTGTTTTGTTTGACTACACTCCAGATTCCTCCCATAAAGAGCAGATGAACCAAATAATTAAGTATGTCCGCATCAATGATAAAACCTGTACAATTAAGGAAAGCTTTGTTAAATTCATTGAATGTCACCAAAAAATCGGAAAAAGTCTTTGCAACAGAGATCACTGAAAAATTAGAGAAAGACGGTTTAAAGATTTCTGATTGCCGCGGCCAAG